CACCCTCTCTCTTTCCTTGCCTCGTCTCTAAGGGACCTGACCCCCCAAGCCTGCATGGGCGTGCTAAAATCAGCGTTAATTATCTTGCACTCAATTAACACAGTTTCTTAAGGTCTTAAAGCCCTGATAAAACTGCTTAACCTCCCTGAGTGGTGTCCCTCCCCTCCCCCAGGCTTAAGCCCAGGAGTTAGGTGGAGCGGAGCCCCCCTGCGGGGTCTCAACGGGCCCCCCTGCGGGGTCTCAGTGGGCCCCCTTTCGAGGCTCTCAGTGGGCCCCGTCGTTAGAGCCGTGCATTTCGAGGGGAGCCTCTTGTTCCAGGGACCCCCCTGCCTGGGGCACAGGCAGTGAGGGGCTGGTTCACCCGCCCAGCGCGGGCGCAGGTGACGATCGCGTGCCGCGCTGCTTCCTGGGTGCTGGGGGTTTGGCGACACCTCTGCCCTTCCCAGCCACCCTCGCACCCAGGCCCCTCGAGGGGCCCCCGAGGGCACCAGGCGGCCGGGCAGCCTGACCTGTGTCGGATCTCTGGGGCCTGGTGAGGCCTGGCCTGGCCGGACCCGGGCTGGGAGACTGCTGCTGTGAGTGGTGTTGATGGACCTGTAGGGGGCGCTCTTCTCCTGGGGCCACTGTTGTCAGTCCAGCAGCGGGGTGGCGTGTGCTGTAGGAGGTGCTGTCCTTCGGAGGGGACGCTACACTGACTGGTCTGTCCCGAGAGGTCCCAGGGTGGTTTGGGTGGGTAAGGGGTGTGAGCTCTTCCCCCTTCCTGCTGCCCTTAACCCACCTGGTGAAGCAGCTTGTCTTTCCTCCCCCTGATCCACTGGGGCAGAACTGTCTCTATGTGTCTCCCAGGTGGGGCTGCTGGGGCAGAATGATCACTGTGTGTCTCCCAGGTGGGGCTGCTGGGGCAGAATGATCACTGTGTGTCTCCCAGTTGGGGCGGCTGGTGCAGAATGATCACTGTGCGTCTCCCAGTTGGGGCGGCTGGTGCAGAATGATCACTGTGTGTCTCCCAGGTGGAGAGTGTGTCTCCCAAGTGTGTCTCTCAGGTGGGGCTGCTGGGGTAGAATGATCACTGTGTGTCTCCCAGGTGGGGTGCTGGTGCAGAATGATCACCGTGCGTCTCCCAGTTGGGGCGGCTGGTGCAGAATGGCCACTGTACAGTAGCTAGTTCCTTATGTAAGAGTAGAGTGTTTTTAAATGAGAAAATGCTTTTAATATGCACTGAGTGAACTTACGTAGTAAATATATACACAGAGTACAATTGATCAATATATCTGATTGCTCCTCAACCCCTTCATTTTAACAGCAATCTGCTTTAAAGTGTGTGTA